GTGCATCAAAAAATTGTGCAAAGCACCAAACTGTAGATCATCTAACTTGGTATTCCACTCCACTTTCCTACCTTTGCCTCCTTCATCTTTAACTATTTCCTCTAAGTTGTTTTCATAATCATTAAATTAAATATTCCAAATAATTGATTTAGTAATATATTCAAGCTAAACAGTAAAAAACATATATATGTATGCATCAAATCATGATTATGTGTTAGTATGCATTGGTAGACCATTCATACAAATACAAGAATGAAGCAACGAGATGCTTCTCATTCCACAAGGAGGCATCAGCTGAGAGAAAAGATTGCCAAATCCCGCAACAGCTCCTCGGTTTTGGCTTAGGCTTTCTAAGTGAGGCCTAATTTGATAAGATTTACAACCTAAAAAGAGCAAAACTATCTATCAAATAAATTCTTTTCCCATAGTAAGTAACAGCCTCTTGATTATATTCTCATAATTTTCAAATTGCGTTCATCTAAATTACCATCTTTCTCAGGCACTAATCCACCAGCAAAGGGATGTTAAGAAACAGGGTAATTAATGCAAATGTGCTCTAATGCTCCACAAAAAGATCAAGTTGCATACGCACTTCATTAGCAAAAGGCACCGGCTTAGCTCAAGAGCTTCCAGAAGTTCTGAACACGTCATTTCCACAATCTCGTCACCTTCTGAAATAGCTGCATCTTTTGCTTTTTCTGCAGCTTCCTTGATCTGTAACCACTCTGGACTACAGTTATGAATAACCCTGGCCTGCAATATTTGGATACATAGTTAATGATATGACCTACAAAATCTAGCTGATTAAACATATAAACAAAAACAACGAAAGTGAAAAGGAACGACTTGTGGAGTTTGGACACCTAGCCACTTTGCAAATTCATAGCCAAGACGTTCTGATTGTGTTGCCATCCTTGAAGAGGATATCTTTATAACAGCTGCAGCTTCCTTTGGAGAAGCATCATCGTTTTCAAGTTCATTAAATAGCGCAAAAAACACAACACCTCCAGAATTTACAGTCACCTGTGTTCAGTTGACATGAGCAAATAATTATTAAGAACACAACAATAATGTAAAATGCTCAAACTGTGGACAGAATGTGTAGTTGACTTTCCCTTTGCCAATCCGTTCTTGTTTGTGGTAAATATTAAAAGTTGATTTTACACCAGAAGTTCATTACTTTCTTTAATTCCCTCTCATACCAGAAAGTATGTTCAGTTGAAAATGATGCATAAGATAATCAATATCAAGAAGTTCGTTGGTAAAAGAAAAGTTTAAGGAACTTAAAAAGAAAAAAGAGTTAGATGATTAAGGATAATGCTACAACTATTTATTTTGGCCATACTATACTTGTTGCAGTCAATTCTACATCTTATTCAGGCAATCACGTACTGAAGAAACATAATGTCAAAACTGAAATACCTCTAATGCTTTATTAGTTTCATCCTCGGACTGTTCAGTACTACTATTGTGCTCCGTGTGGTGAAGAGAAGACAGCATGTTCCACGAAAAGGTGCTTGATTCAATGTCCGAAACCGCAGCTTTTCCAAGTCTCTCCCATAAACTTACTTCTGTTGTTGGCTCAGATGGTAGGGGATCAATCTGATCAAGACTCAACTCTTCTGCACTGAACAAGAATTATACTGGAGCTACATTATGGTTGTAGTTTGTGCTTTATTCGTTTATAAAGCTCAACTAGTCCATGCAATTATTTGCACAATAGACTGAAAGAAGAATAAAAATTCCTATACATTTAAGAATAGGGCCCACAACAACAGCTAAGACTTTGCTCTCATCTGAAAATTTTTCATGAAACAAAGGTGTGTTATAACATGTGTCACTCATTTAATCTCAACATTTAAAGGAAAAACACAGTTCCCATTCTTCCACTTTTTTAAGAAGTGTCAACATTGTTCTAGACTCTCACGCAAAAAGAAACTTCATCCCTCAACTTGAAGAAGCTTAGCAGCTACCACAGGAGAAAAGGCTTCTACCAAATTTAGGTACTTATTTTTCACTTGATTTCCTTGTGAAGAAGTAGATAAAAGACAGATAGGAGATCTTTTCACATGCTCCAAGTCCTATGTATAGAAACAGAACATGAATAAGCCAACTTACAACTTCCTCCATTGCATTAGGCACTTTTTCCTTTTTGTACGATTTAAAAGAACGACATATTTCTATATTTGAAAATTCTTTAACATTCTAATTTAGTCCTTACAATATCCTCTTGGGGAATTGAAGTTGCATCTGTTGATAACACGATACCATGGGTACTTTCATTTGGGAGTGTTCTCTATCTTTGCATTATGTATGAAAAGACTTTCTTTTTTTTCTTGAACTTCAAATCAAGTTGCACCACCATATAGAATGAAACCGATGTAATAATAACTTTCACCACGGATGTCTATAATTAATTATAGCTCTAGGCTGCATATACTCTAGTACAATATAATAACGAATTTCAAGGAAGACAACTCAAATCAGGCTAAAAGAATCAAAATCACTAATATCAAATCTCATTTAATGCTTTTCTTTCACAGTGGACTATAGGGAATGTGTGCTCCCAGTACACAATAGTTGGCTAATAGCTTGAGTAAGCAAGTTTTCTTTGATCAATAACGTTAGTAAGCATCAATCTAAATGATCATTTGCTACCACCAACCTTAATGGCATGCTATCAGCTCGTCTAGGGAATCCGGAAGAGCGGTACTTGCTGCTACGTTTACGGACCAGCTCAAGCCATTGGGCGAACCGATACGCCGGCCCTGCAGTGATATCCCCCAACATATACAGCACCTGCAAAACAACAATGTTCCATCCACCCTTCAGTTATCCAATCCCCCAAACTTCAAAAAAGCAATTAACAATGAAACTGACCCGAGAAGTGACAGTGAGGGGCAACGGGGCCTCAGGCTCGTCCGATCCCAGATCGAAATCTTTCTCCTCTTCTCTCTGCATATACATAACTTCTTCCCACTTATAAGCAATATACAAATCGACAGAACCCAGATCTATATAATTCAATACACACACATACTGCAACTACAGTAAAACTAAAAGCTCATAATGATTAAAGTGCCATGTCTATATCTATATGGGTAGGGTTTCTTTTAAATTTTTTTTTGTGAAAAAAGGGGACATGGGTGTTGTTGATTTGAATATAAATAGGTAATAATGTGAAGGAAAGAGAGCGTGCCTGAAGAGAGTACATGTCTTCTTGATTCTCATTGGTCATTGCTTTACTTTTCTTTGAAAAAGCAAAGTAAAATTTGCCGCTTTTTGTGGGTCGTTGAGAATTTGAGAGAATAGGGTGGTAAGTGGGGTTCAAGATCAATCAAAGCTGTTTAGCAGAGAGCGCTTTTCATGGAGATTTTAGATCGAAACTCAGGTGGGTCGCTTCCTTTTTTTTTAGTCGACAGTGATGATGACACACTCACAGTCGAATGCAGTCCACGGCGAATCTAGAAATTTTGCTTAATGATATCGAAATGTTACTATGCAAATATATAATTTTTCGACACTGGGGTTTGAGTTAGCCGTGTGTAAAAATTGATTTGATTGATAAATGAGTTGATAAAAATGTTATTGATTTATTGTTTTTGGGTATTAAATTAACGATTTTTAAATGTAAAAAGAAATTATTGGGTTATTGGATTAGTATTTATTTTTAATATTGGATAAATACATAACCCATTAAGATTAATAATTTACTATTTTTACTTGTGCGTATATATTAATCTCAATATCTTATTAGTTATTCCTTTCGTTTCAAAAAGAATGTTAACATTTCCTTTTTACTCTGTTTAAAAAAATGAACTCTTTCCTTTTTTGGCAACACTTTAACTTTAACTTTTTATAAATCACAAGATTAAAGGATATTTAGATACATTTGACATAACTTTAATTTAGAACCATAAAATTACTCTGTTTCAAATTAAACTAGACGATTCTTTTTTAAATGGAAGGAGTTATATCTTTGTTCTTTTGCCTTCAATTCACCCTTAACAATGACTTTGATTTCACAATTCGCATTATACAACATGTTAAAATCTAAAATAAGAACCTTATTCTTCTTAATTTCTCTTTGTGTTATACTTGTATATTTCTTTTCATATTTGTTATTAGTATTTTTGTTTTATGAGTACTTGTGAAGTTACATTATTGTGTTTTAGCATCAAATCTATTAGAAAAGTAATATATTTGTTTTATAAGTATTGTCTTATTGTTTAAATTGAAAATCAAACTATCAAGGATCAAATTGATAAAAAATATCTTATTGATTTGGTTATTGGTCTATAACAGATTTAAAAATCAAAAACCGATAAATTAATAATATATAAAACGAACTGAACCAATAAATCGAACCAATAATACATAAGTCATTATAGAAGTAAAATTTTTACGCTCATGAGACTTCATATTCTCCAAAAATGATGGTTTGAGTATTTCTTATCATAATTTGAGATTTTTTTAAATACCAAAATCAAAGACTAGTTCACTATCAGTTTAATTTTTTTATTGAATTAATATTCTCCAGTTTCATGTAATGATATGATATCATGATTCCATGTCGCATGGATAAACATGCGCGTCCTAGACTTTTTGATATTATAGTCTTAAACTAAAGATATATAGAAGACATCAAAATATGTTTTATTCATGTAGTCTTTGATATTTAATAAATTATTATAACGAATAGTTTGGGTTAAATCTTTAAAGAAGCTAGAAACCATTGTTTGATAAACCTAGCTAATATTAGGTAGTGTAAAGGTTGTGCCTCGCCTCAACTAAGGCTGACAATTGGACAGGACAGGGTCAAACAGACAGGTTTTATCGGAACCGATATCGATACCGGATTTTCTTATCGGTATCAGGTCTTACCAAAACCAAATTTACCGAAAAACCCAACATTTTTCATCCGATCCCTTAGTAACCGGGTTGGATCGGATCGAAACAGGTCTTACTGGATTAGATAAAAAATCATTATCAATTAGACAAAGTCTACTTTTTAAATAATCAACTGCTCTTAAATTATTAGAAGCATTATCTAAAGTGACACTCATTATTTTATCACATAATCCATAATATTGCAAAAAAGAGTCTACTTTTGATGCTGTATAAGAATTCGTTTTAGTTTCTTCAACATATTTATACGCTAATATTTGTTTTTGCATGTTACATTTATGGTCGATCCAATGGACATTAAATGTAAAATAATCGTATTACCATTAGGACTACGTCTCATATCAAAAGTAATAGATAATCTACCATCGTAATAAGTAAATAAAAAAAATAACAATATTCTTTTTTAATATTTAAAAAAATCACTTTTAATTGTATTACTTGAAATTTGTTCATGCAAAGAGCTAAAACAGAAATTAGGTCCTACATCAAGATTAACACTTGAATACTTTGTTCAATATCAACCATATCAAAAAAAAAATATTTGGGCCAGGAGTTCCACCTCCAACACTAGCAGCAACACCCACATTACTCTTGCCAACCATCCTTAAGACCTGTTTGTTTATTTTTCAACAAAAAAAAGAGCGTAAACGATAACACAAACGGTAGAAAGATTTCCGATTAGACAAAGAAAACGTAAGACCACTTGCCTGATTGTAAATGTTATTGAGGTCATCAGCACCCAAGTTTTCAAGAACACGAGCAGCCATGCCAATAATCTTCTCTACTTCAATACGAGCATCATCTCTCAAATTAATTCCCATGGATTTAAGAACCTTAGCAACAATACCAGTTCCCTCACTAATAAGACCCAACAGAATCTGCTCTGTTCCGATTAAATTGTGACCTAGTCGCATGGCCTCATTTTGTCCAATTACTGCTTTATCAGACATTGCTTTTGGTACAATTCGAGACCGTTTGACAAAAGTTTCAGCAGATTTTGCATCTAATGCATTGCAGGCTCGCAGTCCTACAGAACTGTTGAGCTTGAAAGAAGGAAATTTTACATCACATATCATTCTAAAACTTGTTTGATTTTTCTGAGATCCATTGAATTGTTCATCCCTTCCATTCGCAGCAACGGAAGATGGAATGTTTATTGAATGAACTAAAGCTCTAGCCATAATGGACCTGCAAGATTTGCAAATCAGAAAATATCAACAAAAACAGTTGGATTCATTAAGTGAAAACATGAACAACAGAACAAAATTAGTTCAGAAACACTTGTTCAAAAATTCAAACACATACCCAGAATTTGAAAAGAACCCTAATACCAATCTGTGTTATTCACCGATGGGATTTGGTACAAGTTAAGTTTTTTCCTATAAATAAGGACTTTCTTTATTATAATTGGTCGTTAGGCGATTTTATTTTTATTTTAAGTCCATTAAGATTTTAATTTAATGAGTTAATTTGACTTGATACTATAAAGACGGAAAAAAATAGTAATATAAAATAAAATTGTTATTAAATATAATAATATCTCATTATTTTTAGGAAAAATTACTTGAGATGGTAAACTATACTAAGTAATTAATTATTAAGGATATAATTTAATTTATTTACTCAGTAATTATAGTTATGTAAGTAATTAATTATTAAGGGTATAATTTAATTTATTTACTCAGTAATTATAGTTATGCTTTTCTATATAATTTTATACAAAATTAATTTTATAGTTATGTGTATTATACTTCTTAGTTTTTCATATATATATATATATATATATATATATATATATATATATTTTAAAAAAATCTTTTTTCTTATCAAATTACAAGTTCTTCAAAATCAGAATAAAAGATTCTTCTTCATCCGTGAAAATTACTTGCTTGAATATTGTGTATATAGTTGTTTTTACATCGAATTATTATATATAAAACTGATAAGGAATTTGCGTTGTTATATTCATATTTTAAGTTTTTTTTTGTATATTTAACTAGTTATATGTGTACATAAGTAATTACTTTAAAAATTGATACAATTATTTGTTTTAAATCACAAAATTTTTGTATTTTACGTTATTACATATACAAAACTGCTTCAGGAATTTGTGTGTATACAATTTATTTATACATATACAAGTGATATTCATTTTATTTACATTAATTTTAAATTCTAACTTCTAAACAAATACTTATTATTAAGGAGTTTCATGTTTTATTGAAGTTCTAAATATTGTTAGATTATACACATATTTAATTGAATTTTTTTTTCTTTACTAACCTTTTTGGTGATTTGGCTACTTTAATCCTTCCTTTCCTTTTCTATTCCGAGTACCTGCTGCCAAGTTTATAGGATGCTAAATTGTGTTTAGTTTAGAGTTCTTCATAGTTTTCAATAAGTAAGCAAGAGTTTGAATTTCGAAATCTCTGATTATGCATCGAAATATTCTTGACAAAACTCTTTTTTTCTTCTCTTTTGGAAAAATTTCCTATTGTGAAAACTTGGAACAAGTAGATCCTATGGTGCTTAACATTTGGAGTGACAATAACTTTTGTTTTGCTTATAGTTAAAGATTCAAGCCCTTTGTTTATTGTTCACGTCACCCATGCACACAGTATGACGCCTATCATAATTGTGGTGTTAGAATCAATTTATGCACGTTACAATTATTTTTCATCAAAATAGGTGTACCTGATATCTCGACCTATCGTGGCTTAGACCATCCAAGTTAGACGGGCTAATAAAGTCTATCCAATGTAAACTAGTGTAAATAGTTATTGAATTTGTTGATCAAGTTTATGTAAAAGTTATCTAAACGTAATTGCATGATATTTTCCATACGAGTGGAATTGGTAAACTGAAAAGTAAGACGAAGCAATAAATAAACACATTAGTCTAACTTTGACCTTTAACTTTCAAAATGCACAAATAAGCATTTTAACTATTCAACTTTTAAATAAATAAACACATTAGTCCTACATGACACAATACACGTAGGACACCACATATGACAAAAAATGACATGTAGAACATGTGTCTATTTGTTCAACTTTATACAAATTTAGGTGTCTATTTATGCACATCCAAAGTTGAAGAGCATAAATGTAGAGAAAAGGCATAAAAACACCACTGAAGTTGTTTTGAATTTTTAAAAAGACACCTTAACTTTGCGGACTTCCTATTACCCCACAAAAATATTGAATATCTTTGTAAAAGGACCATTTTGATTTATTTTCTTGCCATGTTTGTGAACACGCACATGACGCGCGTGAAGGTCCACTTTTGCTGTCAAAAATCAATTGAAAAGTGTCACGTTTTAATCATTTTCTTTATTAGTTATTTACCTCATCATCTTCCTCAAATTGGGTTACAACTGCCTCAAATGTGTTAAACTTAATTAATGACAGATTAAATATCATTAACACAAATTTACCTCATCATCTTCCTCAATGATGCTTTAATAATATGAATTAGAGTTTCGAAAAAATTATTATTGACAAATAGAATCACAAAAAAACTATTTATAAAAGATGTTTTAACAGAAAATAACTCATTAAATTGACACATCTCAAAAAAATTTCAAACTAGTAATATCAAGTTCAAATCTCCGTTGACTAATCAAAAGTGAATTGACGAAAATGGCAGTACGTGGAGAATTTGATAATGAAGAAGAAGAAGAAAGAGAATGAAGAAAGAGAACAGAGGAGGGTAATGAAGAAGAAGAAGAAAGAGAAGAAAGAAAGAGAAAAAGAAAAAGAAATGAAATTGATAAAATAAGAAAAATAAAAATAAAAATTAATACGTGGCAGATTATAATTGGTGTGTGATTGAACTTCTTTTCTTACAAGTGAGGATGGTTAAAAAATGGGATATTATGCCTAATTATGTAGAGTCAACTTATGCACATCACAACTATTTTTCACTAGTGTAGATACTTGATAACTCGGCCTACCATGGCTTAGACAGGCTAATAAACATTCTTTTTCACCACTTGTACATGTTTCAAGAAGGTAATATTATAACGAATAGTCTGAATCAATTCCCGAAGAAAGCTAGAAAGCGTTGTTTGATAAGCCTGCATAGTATTAGGTAGTGTAAAGGCTGTCCCTCAAATTCATTTAAACTTCACTAGTAAAGTCTGTCAAATGTAAACTAGTGAACAAATAGTTATTGGATTTGTTGATCAAGTTCATGTAAACAGCTATTCTAAACACAAATTAGGCTCTTAACTAACACTTGATACTTCTAATCTTCTTGGATTTCATCTTTGGGATAAACAAAAAATGAAGAACAAAAGCCAAAACAAAAGAAAGAAAGATCCTTTGACATTTAATGGTGAGGTGACAGAGCTATTTACATTATGGTGTCTTATCAGAAAACTTCAGGGAGTGGCTTGCCTTCAAGAAATGACTTGAATAACACAAGTGATCTCTCTGGCTGTGAGAAAGGAGCCTCATGAGAAGCACCTCTAATCGTCGCAAAGGAGAGGATATTATCATAAACATGTGTCCATCCACCAACCTAACACAGCAAAAAACAAAAAATGAAATGAACTTTTGCCTGAAAAACAGCAAATTGGACTCGATTAAATAAGACTGTTTAACTTCTATACATTAACAACGTAATTGCAGCCTTCTAATGAATTTTAAATTGCACCGTTAGTGGATGTATAAGTTTAAAATCCATGTATATATATTACCTGTTGTCCTGCAAACCAAACTCTATAGGGGACAGTTGTGTTCAGCTGCATCTGCCTTGCTAGTTGTTGAACAGTTGCTCGGCTTCCAATCAGTGGAACGACAGAATCTTGATCCCCGCTGTTTGTAAAGAGTTTCAAGAGTATTGGTGTTAGACGTCAAACGAATTGCCAGGTTCACATGAGGAATTAAGTACATGAAGGGACATTAGATGTAGCTGCATTTGTACCTATATATTAAGACTGGAATTCTTTCTTTGATAAGCGTTCCTATTATGGAGATAGTTGGTATCTCTATGTCAAGCAGTTGATAGTCCAAAATACTGTGGAAGCAATGAGAATTATCTGTTATTTAGGGAGTTGTGAACTTGCAAGTTATTATACCAGAGGCAATGGTCAATAAAAAACGCAAGACTAGATATGTTATTCTAACTCTTTAAGAATATCGCCAGGTGCACATTGGTCCTCCATAAGTAGTGGTTTTTTTTTGGAGGATCCTAACACAGGCGCAGTAGCACTTTTGGGGAGTCCGAGTAACATAGGAGACCAGAAGTTGGTGATTATTAATATGCCTGCTAAGTTGAAGCCAGTGGATTGATACGCTTCATATTCTGCTACGGATTCAAGTTATATACACTCATATGATAGCAATCTAGTTACCATTTTTCCAGGTTACAGATTAACTTATGACCTCATTGTGCGAATACTTTTTATTTGTCACTATGCTATTCGGCTGTTGATCGTTTTAGCAAAGCAAGAGCGCTTACCTGCTGCAAACAGACCATCTGTGTACTCCAACAAGCTCAGCATGAAGAGCCCTTTTCACATCTTTTCGGTTCAAGTAATTTACAACTTCATCTTCCACACATACATCTAACTTCTCGGAATTTTCCTGGTTATTAGTATCACTTTAGATAGTCCGTTTAACTGGATAACAACACGAAAGAAGCCCTACAAACAAACGGAGGAAGTACACTTACTTGAGGACTTATAATCTTGGACTGGGAGAGCACAGAGGAAATACAAACATCAAGGGTAACATCATACTTGTCCACAAACTTACTGGTTTCTCTACTCACTAAACTCATGACTCTCGAACAGATTGGGGATACAGTGTCCCTGTAGTACTCGCTAACATATCGAGAATAATTACAAGCAGAACTAAACATTCTGTATGTAGGATCTGATATTAGACCATGAGACCAGAAGTACTCTGCCCTCGAATTAAAATCAGTAGCGAATTCCAGAACCGGATTACCTAGCTGCAACGAAACGAAAAATTGAAAGAAGGGATTAAACAGAACTTTTCTTCTAAATATCTCAATAACATGTAACAGCAAACACAATGCATATAAGCAACAAAGAACTACATGTGATCTGCAACTTAAGGATAAACTTACAGCAATTCCTTTTAGATTGAATAGCTGCTGCTTCTTGTTAAATGCCATCATGAGCTTAGCTAGTTGAGGTACATAATGTCCTGTAATTAAACAAGCCAAAATGTGATTAACCAAGAACAAAAGACATAAAAATACCAAATAATTTTCCATCTATGGCACATATAAGGAACAATCTTACCTGCATAACTTTCGCCAGTTAGAAACAAATTGCTTTTTCTGTACTGTGGAAATTTATGGAACCAGCGTAGTAAGAAAACAACATTGTCCCTGGCTTAAGAATACAAAAAAGATAACAGCTTTAGAATGCACAGCATAAAGCAAGAAATTTTAAAAGTCAAAAAGGCTAAGTTCAATTTGGACAAACAAACAAGGATAAAAAAATCAGAAAGTTTTGCAGAATCCACATTAACAATAAAGAGGACTTGCTTTTCCTTTCCATTAAGTTGTAAGTTACTATTATATTGCTGAAGATCAGCAATCACAAGCTCATCATGAAAGTCAAAAAAGAAAAGATGAAAAGGAACAAGCTTTTCAGAAAATGAACCAATAGTTGGAATGCATGTTGAATTAATTCTTTATAGCTATGTTGCTCGGACTCTCCATAACTGATGCCGGTTACTCAAAAACTGCACTACTTTTGAAGGATCCGACATGTACCAGTAACCGTTTTCAAAGAGTCTGTCTGAGCAACATAGCTTGGGAGTGGCAATAATACCTGTTATTTCATCATTTACTGTCTCATAGGAAGAAGTATCAGATGAATAAGAGAAGCCAACTCCAATTGGGCTTTCCAAATACAACATGTTTGCCTCTGCAAATATTTCAAGAAAACACAATCATTTTCTACTTCCTATACAGTTACCAGAAGAAAAAAATGGGAAAATTTTCTTGAAAAATAATGTTATATCACCTTTGTTCCAACTGTGTTCATTTATAACAAGACCTTCTCCTCTTGGTCTAAATGGTCCATTTTCAGAAAATGCACCAACCCCAAGTGAAGAACATCCAGGTCCTGCATATACAAATTGCAAATACTCAAAAAAGATTGAAACTTTATCAAGAAAAAGAACACCCCAAAAACAAAAATGTCTTGAAATTGTATACCTCCATTCAACCACAAAACTAAAGGCTTTGAAGCTGGATCCGTTTCAGCTTCAACAAAATAGTAAAAAAGAGATCTTTGCTTCTTATCATCAACAGTAACATATCCTGAAAATTGTTGAAACCCCACTTGAGGTTGTCCAGGCAATTTAGTGATCTTGTCTGGATGAGGCAATGCAGACACAATTCCTACATAAGCATAAAGAAGAAAGAGAAAAACAGCCATAGCCATAGGTTTTGAAATCTGCAAATTCACAAGGAAAAGAAGAGATTGAAAGTCAAGTTATTACTAAAAGAGAGAGAATTATATATATAGTGTAGCCAGAGTCCGAATTAACTTTGACAGAACTCAGTAACTTTGATCCAAATTTTATGTTAACATATAAAAATACACTTTTTAAAGATCTAAGATTTATAAAATCAAAATTCCTAAGTTTGACATTTTTGTTAACACATAGCATGCCTAAACCAACATATCAATATCATAATAAAAGTTTTTATCATTTCTTGTCTGTAGTTACTGTAGGCATGGTAATATATTTGATGAGATAGAGACCAAAATGACCAGAGGGGAAATTCTTTTTAATTAGGTGGTGGCCTCCACTTTCCCTACCATGGGGCTAGTGTCAGCACTCAAAATTCTTCTTTATTCCTTCTCTTTCATTTTACAAGGTACTATATTTTTTATCCATTCTGAGAAAAATGAGACCTTTCTGTATTAGAGCAACTTCTCATTTTAATCTTTTATGAGAAGCTTACATAATTAAACAAATGATGCAGTACTATGTTACGATCAAATGCTTACCATCGTGCTAAAAGTTATAATTGTTAGCCAATGTGCAACTTTATTTCTTAAGTACGTAAATTAAGTAAGGGTCATTGTTCGATCATTACTCTGATTCAGACATATGCCCTTCATATCAATTTGATTGACACGGGCTTAAATATGTCTTTTAAATTGAAAAAAAATAAGAAACATAGAAAAAACGCTTTTTTTGCAACAGACTAAAAAGGAAATACGATGCGTAAATTGAGAGGGAGTATAAGTTTTAGGTTCCCAAGGGGCAAGATAATAAGTACAAAGTTAAAAACCAGCACATAGTAGGTTATCTTTTTGGGCAGGTAGCTAAAACACTGGAAAGGCATGTTTCTTTCTTGAAAGTAGCTTTAGAAGAACACTTTTCTATATCTCACTAAATGTATGAAAAATGAACATATATTATGGTGTCTAAGGAAAAAGAATAATTATTTTTTTGCTTCATCTTCAAGTAAAGAGCATGATGGATTATACTTTCTTTTCTTGCAAGAACTTATAAAGCTTTAGCAAATTTTACGAGCGTAAAATACATGTGCATTAATAAATATCAAATCGGCAAGTCTAAATCCTTAAAGTCATGATAATTCAAAATAATAATGAAAACAAAACATAGTTTAAATATAACACTTGTAAAAATGTAATTCAACTAAAAAATGAATTTACTTTTTTTTTACACACTTAGATAAACATTAGATAAAACAAATGGAAAATGATATGTGGTCCAATAAAATTAGTTAAATGAATGTATAAAAGTTGATAATGGAATGAATACACCTAAAATCAAATACATCAATCTTGTAGACATTTTCTTTATGTATTTATTAGGTTGAATGGATTATTATAATATATAGTTTTTGGCCACCACAAGAAAAAGGAGGTCTTATAATAATAATATATAGTATCATGATTTGTCAATTCACTTTTCACACACATTCACAAGAACCCATTATACCTTCTACTTCTAAGCCAGGTCCCCCCACCCCACCCCACCCCACCCCACCCCCACCCCCGCCCTACCCCACCCCAGTCCCCTACAACACAGAAAGAACCTTTACAAAAGTTACACTTACTTAAATCATTCCCTTTTCCCCACTTGCATAACTGCCCAAAAGCAGAGACAGATAGACATCTAAGGTTCCACTTTTTTATAATATTAGCAAAGTTAGAAATTTTTCGTTTAAATATTTTACGTATATAATATAAATTTTTAACGAAAGTTATTTAGTTATCTTACGATTTATGTGCCTTTGTCACTAGGTTTAGGACCCCTTCATGGTCCAATCTTTGTTTAGTGGACTAGCCAAGACAGAAATTTTACTGTTGCATTGCATTTGATGTTTCGAGTTAAAAGAAGATTCAATAATTTTATATAAAGACGTATATTGTATTTATATATACGATATAATTTTTTGATAAAAATAATTCTCGAACCATGCAACTCTACCATTGCCTCTTCTTTTCAGCTAAACATTAATAACACTTTAGAAAACCCCCACTTGGAAATTAGCTGTTAACACTTGAACACAAGTCAAAGACATCTTTTTGGTGCCATTTTTTCATACTCTAACCTTCCCTAACTAACTTAAGAAATATAGCGCACCTAATATGTTGACTTAATTTAATGTCAATGCATCACTTTTGGGCGGTAACAACGTTTTGATTTTATCATTCTACTTTTCAACGTAATAGACAATCTGCTATAACATTGCTAAATTTCAATAATAAGTTTTACGGTATCATCAACGTGTTACGTGTATAATTCATAAAAAAGAAGCGAAGAGTTGGTATGATTAGAAACTCCATCTAGATGTGATATATGAACATTTGACATTTTCCCCCAAAACAATATACATACAAGTATTTCCTACTAGTACTCCTTTTGTCTTAATAGTGCACCGAGTGACAAGTAAAAATGAACGGAGGGAGAAAAGATGAACAGTATCATCTTTCCAACAACAACAACAACAAAAGACATATTACATCTTCTGCACGCTCAAACATGATGTTCTTTTTTATGAATTTCATGCCAGTAATAATAATGTTTTCACAGAGACACTCATGAATTTTTCCACTTCCACTTGCACTCTTTCTTCAGCTGGGGTCTTTGACATGTCTTGTGTTGTTAAAAGACAACAGACACCCAATAAAATCTAAAATCAACTCAACTAACGCACCATTTCCTCAGAACAAAAAGGATACACAATGAAACATAAATCAACTCAACTAAAGCACCAAAATAGCATAAATCCGAAAGTTGCTTCTCAATGCACATATGACCAAAACATGTTCATGTTACACAAACAAGTTGGCCCCAGTAGGTTGTATGTATTCACAAGGGCACCCTCGGAAAAATATATACAGAAGATTCACATATGGTTACCCAAACGAACAAATCAATTAGAATACCAATACATACATTAAATCAAGAACCACTGACCAAATAATAAACACCATGCACCAAAATTTCTATCATTGAACGACTGATCATAACATTTTCAACACATAATAAATGAGTTCACATAGAGAGAAATCAGTCAAGAGAACTAGACACTTCAGAAAGGTATTTTGTTGGAAAGGTTTATCACCTTAACAAAAGGGCTCAAGGAACCAAAGACACTAAACAGAGGGTCAGCAATAACAAAAGAAAAAGTCAAAACAGTACTAAATACAGATATAGCTACAGAAGTTAGCTTCACATATCACTGGTCTATGTCTGAAATGAACCAACGGTGGTGATTAACCGAAATCTAAACAGCATTTTGTGAGATGGGTCCGAGGTAATCACCCTCCAAGCTCACAACAGCTTGGAATTCCTTCTCCGCCTCCACATACCTTGCTCCAACCACGATGAAACGCACCACAGTGTCTTTCTCAATTCTGGACATCTTCTCATTCATAAAGATGGGATTTTCTCCAGGCACATACTTGTAGTCAGCCATCTTCTGATGAGAGAGATATACCTTGTCTGTGGGGCCACATCTCAAGAAGACACCATGCTTCAAGATCTTTTCAACAACCCCATCTAAAATCTCTCCACGGAATATCTTGAAGGTAATGCAGCTGAACTCGACAGGGAAAAGCACATCACCAGTGTGTTCTCGAACTTTCCCTTCCCCAATCCTCTCCAATGTAGTAACAGCCATAAAGTAACCAAGACTTTTGGACGCCTTCTTCGAAGCGAAGTCATCCAGGAGGCGAATAACAATTGCCTTCTGAAGCATTAAACCTTCAACGTCAAGGTTCTCAGCAGGGATTATCACATTCCATGATAATTGAGATTTCAAAAACATTTTATATGACCTATCACAAATCAAAACACAGTTAGCTAACTTAGCTTTATCAAGGGAAATATGGGGCCTTACAAAGAAACCATGCAGTCATAGCAGTGCTAGTATAAAAGTTCAAGAAGACGTTTTTTTTTTAAAAAAATAAAAAAAAATGGTAACTTTTCAAGAAGACATTTTGAATTTCATATACCACAACCGCAAGAAATGCAGTGCACATCTACTAAAATTATCCATCAGGAGAAGATTTCTAATACCCACGAAGTCAGAAACATTAAGATGCAAAAGGTAGGAAACCAAAAGAGACAGAAGGGTACGTCAAATAAGGATTTTGCGTGTTGTGTTCTTAATTAGCAGTATCAGTCATCTTTCCCTCAAATAAGTTGCAGAGATTGGCTTGAAACATCACAGGCAAACATAGAAGACTATACAAGTTCACTCCTGTCAGATACTGTATCAGCTCATACAAGAATGCAGCAATCAGGCTGTGGCAACGTCGTTATTAATTAAATATTACAAACCCTCCTCCAACTCTAATAAAAGTATTTATACAAATTTGAAACACTTCTACAGATTAAAATTATAAGTGAATATCAGTAATATGTCTTAGTTGCGCGGACTCTTCACTTTTGATGCCGCACCAGTCTAGGATTCTTCAAAAATACACTACTTTTGGCAAATCCGACACGCACCCATTGGCATTTTTGAAGAGTTCGAGCAACATAACTAATAGCAGCAACTCCTTATTAGCTAAACTGAATGTTGGAGCAGAATGGTGAAATAGAGTTCCACTGACAAGGAAATAAACTTTTAAAAGAATCGAATCACTTTAGAAGCCAACTGCAGGTAAGTATTTATGCCCAGCATGAGTTGGTAACAACAACATACCCAATGTAATCTCAAAAGTAGGGTCTGGAAGGGTAGTGTGTACAGTGTACCCAAACCTTACTCCTACCTTTGGAGGTAGAGAGGATTTTTTCCGATAGACACTCTGCTCAAGAAAAAGCATAACACCCAGCACAAATTGGTAACTCAAGAAAAGAGGGGGGCAAAACCTTTTAGAACCAGTCTAATTAAACTTTCAAATTACTTTGTCATGTAGATAAAACGTAAATCCTTAATGAATAATACACATATCCATCCTTCCCCTAGGTTTTAGCCGATGTGTGAAAATCAACCTACCAAATGCCTCATATTTCAATCAGCTTCCTTTACAAACGTTTTCCGAGAGTCAAACAACAGCAACTCCTTATTAGCTAAACTGACTGTCGGAGCGGAATGATGAATCAGAGTTTCACTGACAAGGAAATAATTTTTTGAAAGAATCGGATCACTTTAGAAGCCAACTGCAGGTAAGTGTTTATGCCCAGCATGAGTTGGTAACAACAACATACTCAATGTAATCGGAAGGGTAGTGTGTACACAAACCTTACCCTGCCTTTGGAGGTAGGGAGGTTTTCCCGATAGACACTCTGCTCAAGAAAAAAGCATAACACCCAGCACATGGTAACTTAAGGAAATAGGGGGGCAAAACCTTTTAGAACCAGTCTAAGTTACTGCTTTCAAAAAAAAAAAAAACCTTTAAAACCAGTCTAATTTAACTTACAAAGTACTTTGTCAAGAAGATAAAATGCAAAACTGTAATGATTAATACACATATCCATCCTTCCCCTAGGTTTTAGGTGACATGTGAAAATCAACCTACCAAATGCCTCATATTTCAATCAGCTTCCTTTACAAACATTTTCCGAGAGTCAAACAACAGCAACTCCTTATTAGCTAAACTGACTGTAGGAGCAGAATGGTGAAACAGAGTTTCACTGACAAGGAAATAATTTTTTAAAAGAATCGGATCACTTTAGAAGCCAACTGCAGGTAAGTGTTTATGCCCAGCATGAGTTGGTAACAACAACATACCCAATGTAATCCCAAAAGTAGGGTCTGAGAAGGGTAGTGTGTACGCAAACCTTACCTCTGCCCTTGGAGGTAGAGAAGTTTTATCCGATAGACCCTCAGCTCAAGAAAAAAGCCTTACCCAGCACAAATTGAACTTGAGAAAAGAGGGGGTAGAACCTTTTAGAACCAGTCAAATTATACTTACATATTACATTTTTTAGTAGATAAAACTTAAATTCGTGATGAATCATACACATATCCATCCTTCCCCCTAGGTTTTGGGCAACATGTGAAAATCCACCAACCAAACTTCCTTCAAACATTTTCCGAGAGTCAAACAATACAAAATGCATAGACATGTCACAGAGACAACTACGGTAATATAAAAGTAAACATAGATAAGAAAAAGGAAACACCGAAAAACCTAAAACAATCCGATTAGGAAAACTTCCAATTATTAGGGTAAAATCTGCAGGGTTTCTGAAACAATTTTAGAATGATAACAAAAGATAAATTAGGACTTCACCTATGCTTTTGAGCTGCTACAGAGTGCACAAAATGAGCAAAAAAATGGAGAAAACTAGATTTATATTACAGTAGACTACATCATTGCATGATCGGAAAGCAACAAGTAAAGGAAACAAAAAAAAAAGAACCGGTGACGGCGGCACAGTAGTGTGACTAACCTTCGGCGGAGAAACCGGCGACGGAGAAGGTGAGGTACGGGAAGTTCAGTGAATGAGTTTAGCTTACTTGTGTTGATTATTTGTGCTATATTTAATTGATAAATTAATATTTATTAATTTAAAAATGATTTTTAAATTTGAAAAAGGTTAATTTAATTAAAATTATTTTATCTTATTAATTTATGTATCATAGTAATTGATTTCACATAAAATATCATATATAAAGTATAACGAATATATCATAAGCATTGTATCTTAGCTAGCGTTTGATCATAGATTTCCAAATATTCTTGGCAAATATTATTTGAGTGAAAATTTGGGTGAAATTTCACCATGTGTTTGGGCATAAAATTTGGGAAATATATTTCACCTTTTTAGAAAAATATGATTTATACACACAAGTTTTAAAAATTATCAAAACTAACTAAAAGTTTGTATTACAAGTCAATTGAATGTTAGTTACAACAATAACAAATAATGTCAATGACACTAAAGCCAATTTTTAATAATTTTCATCAACAATCATATCATTATTTAATATTCACTAAATATTTCATCACTATTTTGGTGTTCACGTAAAAAATGATATAATACAACGCAAGCAAATACTAGAGAGGGTGTTTTTGTAAAAGATAAAAGATTGGGGTAAAATTTTAATTTTTAAAATATCCCAAATAATGATATTTGGCCCAAATACTAGAAAAAACTAGTATTTGGAAATTTGGGATATTTGCCAAAAATATTTGCCAAATAATGACAAATGGTATGGACAAACATTATTTGCCAAATTTTTCCCAAATATTATTTGGAAAATTTATGGCCAAACGGGCCCTTATTTATTTCAATCTTGTGATGTGTGATAACAAGAGCTTTCAAGATATATTATCAAATATATTTTATCGTGAAATATTAAAAGGTTATGAAGTGGGACAAACTGATCCAATAAAAATAATGTTTTGAATGCTATCAATTTTGCAATTTCTATTTGGACAACAAATATTCAACAAGAGATAATAAAAAATTTTGACACAGTAAAATTCATTCGAGGTATGCAATCTCAGAGAATTTGAATGAATCCACTTGTAAAAATGTCATTCATGATTAATGGTCTCGGTTATCACAATAAAAGAGATGTCAATAACCTGTTCGATTATTCGGATAAAAGGGAGTCCAGGGATTAGAAGAAATTGTAGAGACAATCAGAAAAACAATGTTCATGATGAAGTTGAAGATGATACTAGACCTTTAGAGCCAATTATACACATAAGAAAACATTTGTTGCATCTAGAATTCTTCGCAATTTTATGGTGCAATTCGAAAAGACAATATCAAAGCTCTTAGATGTAATAAGAAAAGTTAGAAATGAGTTTCAACTAGATTTAAATTTTAAGAAAAATCATAACACAATAGAATTATATTTCATTAAATTGTCTTAGATATATTTATAGTTTAAAGAAAATATGTTATCTTATTATTTTATTAAAGTTGGTGATTTTTTCCATTGATCCAAGTCGAGATCGAAGGAAATTTTTTTTAGAGAGGTTATTAATTTACAAAGATTTTACTATATATGATTTTATACTCTTTCATTAATCAAAATCTAATTGTTACCGAGACTTAATTGGTTTATGATTCGATCTTATCAAAATATTTATAGAAGTGCATTTTTATAATTTGATATTTTATTATAGATAATAGTATTTTGCATCAAGAAAAATAATTATCAATGTTTGAAAATATTAAAACAATCCAAACATAGTAAATATTTGAGCTTGAGCTTGAATTTGATTGCCTTGAAATTGACTTATACTTGAAATTTCAAGGTTTTGAAGCATGATCTTGACGGGTGATTGAATTCAAGAATTCTTGAATTTCATGCCAGCAATAATTTGTCTCACAAAAACACTTATATTTAAGTCACTCATGAACTTTCCACTTTTAAGGGTGTACATCGATCGATTTGAATCGATTTATGTATTATTATTCGATTTAACAATTTTCAATTTTTAAATATGTTAAACCAATAATATATTTTTTATCGATCTTCGATTTATCAGTTTTGGTCCTTAACAGTTCAATTTTCAATTTAACCAATAAAAATACTTATAAAATAAATATATGACTTTCCTAATAAATTTGAAGTGAAAACACAATATTGTAACTTTACAAATTCTCATAAAATAAAAACAATAATAAAAAATGAAAAGAACTATATAAGTGTAACACAAAGAAAAATCAAGAATAATAATATTCTTATTTTAAATTTTAACCTCTTGTGTAAAGTGAAATTGTGAACTCAAAATAGAATGAAGTATAAATTGAAGGTTAAAGTACAAATATAGAAATTAATAAGACATTAAAATTAATATATAATATTTACGTACAAGTAAAAGTAGTAAATTACTAATCTTATTAAGTTATTGGTTTAAGCAAATATTAAAAATCAATACCGAACATATAACCTAATATTTTTATTTTTTTTAATAAAACCATTAAACACCGTTAACTCAATACCCCAATAATAACAAACCAATAATACTTTTACCGATTGGTTTGGTTTTTGCTCACCCCCACCCACTTCCACTTGCACTCTTCCTTCTGCGGGGGTCTCTACCATGTCCTGTGTTTTACTAATAGAAATAATGTAATTCAACAAAAGAGAATAATGTAATTCAACAAAAGATAACATTGACACAGACTATTATCACTTTTGCATCACTCAAATTGATTATACAAACAGCTACTAATTACAAGTTACCTGTTCTCAAGCTCTACCATTTCAAAATTCCAGAAAAACAGACTGGAAGAAATAAATCAGAAGAAGAAGATGAAGAAGAAAGAATATCTATCTGAATCGTAAACCCAAAAGGAAAAAGGAAAAGGGAAGAATACAATCCGTAAAAGAATAGACATCAAACAAGTACATCATGGAGATGCCTCCGAATCACTACTCATTTTTCCATTATTAGGTTGGTGGTCAATCTCTTTACGAGATGCCTCCCACAGCTGCTGTTCTATCCCCAGCTTCCTCAATTCTATCAAACCTCTTTCAACTGTCAAAATGAGCAACAGAATTACCATACAAGTCAATATATTTCAATAACACAATCAACAGACAAATTTAACTCTGATTTTCATCATTAGAGTCCTGTCCTCACAAGCCACTTCTTTATATAGCATAATGAAAGATTGAGAAATAGACTAATAATGTTATCTCAAGTCATCAGCGTCATTTTTTTCTTTACTTGAATCCCATCATATCCTTTCAGCTGTCCTTTATAAATATGCAAGAGAATAGAGAAACAAAGAAATAGGATGCTATGAACCAACGGAAGACAGGGTGTTTGATGGAAGAAACAGTATAGAGGATATATTCTCATGGCACCATCGAAAAAAGGAAGTCTAGGTAACACTAGCTTTGCTGGTCCAGTACTAACCAATGCATGCGATGATCAATTATAGCTTTACACAAAAAGCTCTTCCACCAACGCCTACAAAAGAATGTTCTATGGCACCACTGACAATATTCATATAGGTAAAACTAGCTTTATGGGTCCCAAACTTAGCTCTTCCAATAAAAGCCTACAAAGTATGGACTTCACTACCATGATAAGTGAAAGTTCCTAACGTGCTTTTAGAGGCATCTTAATTGCTGTCCAAGAGAGCAAAGAGCAACTCTATTACAAGTGAAGGAACAAAATTATCTTCAAATTGTTTCTATACTAGCTATAACAAATGCAACCCTATTACATGCGTAACCTTACGAAGTAGATACTGTTCAGAATTTTTCCTTCTACTTTCCTTGAAACTGTTTAAATTGAAATCTCCTACCCATAACTGTTGACCCTATTTGGTTGTAACTTTTCCTAGTATGTATATTAATGAAAAGGAAAACATGATTTTTCAAAGGACTTCAATTTCCATGTTAAACATAATTTCCTAAATTTTAAAATGAAAAGTTCCTTTAGAAGTGTTTGAGAAAAACAAAAATAAAATTATAATAGGAGACAAAGCTTGAAGGAAAGTGAAGTGTAGTAGAAAGACCAATTTAGCTCCTATCCCGGCCTCAAGGTAGCATCATAAAATGGGGGTACCCGAGGGTTAAACTATAATGGATCAAGAGACTCGGCTATATATTGCAGGAGCTTGGGCTTTCACTAGTATTATAAATTACTAAAAAAAGTTTTTTGTGCTTAAACCTTGATTAAACATAATAAAATTCTAGGAACACAGGCCTTTTAGGAAGATACTTTTTCTGTAACAGGAATTTCCATGCAAGGCTCCAATGGAAATGTTTGAAGTGGCAACAGTGGAACGTGATAGCTACCATTATTTGAGCTTTTATTAGTAGTATGGATTGCATTCCTTTTATCCAAGAAAAAAGTTGAGGACGTTAATTACCATCAACTGCATCATGAGTGGTTGGTGTCTGTCCACTACGGCCTATCCAGACCTGAAGTCTCTCTTCTGCAATATCCTCTTCTACACAATGCACTTTGGCTCTCCTCCAAAAGTATGTAAGCCAAGCCTGCAATTTTAAAGATACCTCATCACGTGGTGGAACTAGTGCTACCGACATTGGTCAAGTGGAATACTCCTCAAGTAGTTTCAACGTTCAATTAAACCATGGCCTCTATTCAGATCTTTATAGATCTATAAAAATTCCACCTTGTAAATTGATCTCACCAGAGCATGTATGTAATTTTTTATTTTGATAGGTAGAGGAGTATGATATGTATATCTTCCAGCATGCTCATATATATTCAAGGGCCAATTCAACAGAAGAAGAGGAAATGGCTCCAGAAGAAAATAGCTTAATCACGAAGAAAAAGAAGACAACTGACCTCCTTAAAAAGAACATCTTCCGACTCCTCTTGCCCCAACTCTGCAACCAAAAACACAGCTCTAGGATCAAACCCTTGTGAAGAACCCCAAGAGAGAAGTACAGATTATACCATCGCAAATCAACAGCCTCCAGTTTTAACAAAGCATGCCCTATATACCAAACACAACCTAGAAAAGAACAAATACAGACTGATATGTAAAAGGGAAATGGGTAATTGACACTGATATGTAAAAGGAATTGCATCTTCTACATCTGCATAGAAGTCCCAAAGAGAGTCTATATGTACATACATAGGATCAAGAAGGGATTATTCCAGCTGCTCTTAACAAATTCTTAAAATAGGAACGTAATTAAATTGATCTACCAATCCTAGTTAAGGAGGATATTCAAATAACCTAGTTGAGCAAATCAAGGTGTTCCAATCAAATATGTTCAAATTTGTATAAAGTGAATTGAGCAAATTCCTTACCATATGCATCCATCAACTTGGGGTCAACAGATGATTTAGGATCTGCAAGCAACAAAAGCATAAAAGACGAGAGTCAGTGTTATTCTTTTTTTTTTTTGGTTGAGATTATTCTATTTCAAAACTAACAAAAGATTGAGATTATTCGATTTTAAAACTAACAGAAGATGGAGTAGGGGCTTGAACATAAGAGAACTGCACCAGATGGAACGGCAAGAAGACTATCGAGCTAATCATTAAGTTAAAGTACATGCGCCACTGGATGTTTAGCAAGCAGTCAAGTTAATAATATAATTCAGGATTGCAAACAACACAGAGATGGACAACAGATATTTGCTCTAAACTGATGACAATGCCCTACTGCAATTAGGAAAATCAGATATGGTGTCAAGCAAAAATGTATGAACTCTAGGAGATGGAAATTTTGATGTGTAAAAGCATACAACAGACACCTCAGATGAGAGGAGTACAAAGTAGAAATAAGTTACATGCACTGAAGCCAACAGAACTACAAATTTACACAAAATCATCAGTCATACCAGAGGACTGCCGAACTACATTTGAGCGCCGATGCTGCGCCAATGCAAGAATAACAGCATCCTCTACCTAAAAGCAGAAAAAATGTTGTTTAAAGAATATACTGCAGTTTTTTGTTTAATTTTTTTCAGAAATAATGTCATTCACAGCTTTTACGACATATAATAGGAAGAAAACATTTTTTGTTATTTCTTTTTCATTAAAAAAAAAAGAAAAAGGAAAACAAACAGAAACCTTGAGGGAAGCTAATTCTCTTAGAGCCATTTCAACTGACAGCATACTCTCAATATTTCCCTCTCCAGATAAGTCACTAATGTCACGGGCACGTTTGCTCCGATCAGAATCATCGCCACCTGCTTAACACAAGAGAGATTAAAATCCAACTTAGATGCAATGAGGGAAACACGAGTAGCAGAAAAAAGGCACATTTAGAGTTAATGCAGGACAGAAAATTGCAAGGAAAAGCTAAGCACCATTCCAGGATTCCTCTCTGGCCTTCTGGCCAGCAGAAATCACAACTTCAAATGGAAGAGGTGCAAAGGATGACCAATGTTCATGCTTCGTCCCTGCTATATCTGCACAGATACCTGAAACCCCAAAAGTTAGCACACCAATTCATTATTAGCATCCCCCCTTCTCCCAAAACCACCCCAAACAAAAAATCAAGTATATATCAAAGAAACCACATGACTAAACAGCCGCAAATGACCCACGAAGAACACACTTATAAACTAGAGTATTTAACAAATAAATAAAATGGTTTCGTGAATAAGATTGAACATGAAGAGAAAAGGCTACTGCTTAGTTCATTACGAGACTCCCACGTATCATTAAAAATATTAGTACTCCCATACATCAATGGTTTGGGTAATCACCAATCGGTCCTCAACTTATCACCAACAACAATCCATTGCTATCCCTAACTTATCTTGCATAATAATTCATTCTAAACATAAAGACTAATAATTTAAAATGGTTTCTAGGATAGTCAGCCAAACTATTTCAACTAGAGGCGGCTTCGTTTCTTTTGTGAAAAATGTTAAAAGAGTCAGGTGGCTTATCTTTGTGATAATAGCAATTGAGTGAGTCAAAGCTTTCGCAAGGCAAACTAAGACTTGTGGATCATGAAAGATAAAATAGTTAAGCATCCAGGTAAGTGGTCAATGGATTCAAATCCAAGCAGAGACCAAAGAGCAAACCACTAGTTGATTTCAGCTCATGTATCTAACCTTGGTGGAAGCGATCAAGTAACAGTAAATTAATCAAGGTGGGGACTAGTTGGCTGGAATACCAACATTTATAAATAAAATTAGAATTTAGATAGTCGAAAGCTAAATTACACACACACACACACACCAAAAAAAAACCAGGTTCAAAATATAAGGAGCATCAGCTAGCTCCTCTACATTCCTCTTAACTTAAGTACCAGACTTTGTTCACGACATGGTAAGCCTCATATTGCATGTTTTCGAGATATATTGAGAAAGATCCCTACCTCACCATGCAGAACAGGAGAATGCACCTAAATATTCCTGGTAATGAAAAAGAAGGAAGAAAGTGAATACAGTTTGAGATCCTTCTTTGGATTTGCTTCATTTTGGATAACAACTTTCTTTTTTTGGAGATAAATTTTGGATTACAACTTCAGTCATATGAATCTTAAGTGTCCATCTCGCTCCTTTTAAGTTCATATTGGTCCAATATTATATAAATTAGAAATTTCTACATTTTTAAAGGCTCTAAAATCTCTGGCGAGACCAAAAGACTTCTCCAGCGCACACAGGTCCAAAAGTATCATGCTACTATAACTAAACTTCATGCCAACTGATTGGAGTTGCCTATATATATCTTTTAATTCTATTGTGCCCTTTTATTCGCTAGGTCTACATGAATTTCAAGACATTACAAGTCATTCAGGGCCACTTTCTTTCAAGTGATTTACGTATTATGGGGCCCCCTTTTAACACATTCAATCACAATGGTGTCATACCTAGGGACCAGTACATCTGGAGGCCAATGTAGGACAAATTTGATGCTCCTTGAACCTTCTCAAACTAAAACTTCATCCATTTCTTTGGCCATCTGACTAGGAGGATTTTCTCAACTACATAATGCTACAATTTGGACACTTTCAGTGATCATGGTATTTTTCTACTTGTTAAGCCAAGAAACACATTTTATCCTACATAAGCAATTGGAAGATGCTAAAGATTGTAACTTCTGAACAGTAACTATAGTACTATACATATTACACCCACTAAACAAATCCAAAAGAAAGATGCTGATTGAGCAAATTACCATATTGTACAGCTAGGCCCCAGTATCGAGAAAGCCAACATCTCTTTAGAACCACCTCCTCCTAGAATGTCAAAAGGACAATAGATATCCAAGTAAGAGAGACTGGGCAGTGAATAGCATAATCTGAAGCTAAAGGCAAAAAGTTTATCGCATCAGAATTCAAACAACAACCATCTCTTCATGGGTCAAAATCATTCTCTGTGTCATTGTTCGAAGAGCTTTGGCTTCAGCTTCAGCTTCCTGAAGCTGTTCCATTGCATTTGCAGTGTCATCCTTCAAGTTCTGAACAAAAAAAAAATGCAAAAAAAAAAAAAAGAAGTAAAAAGGAAGATCAGTGACAATAAAAAAAGCACACAGCACCCAGAGAGTAGCATGAACTAACTTCAATCTCAGTACGAAGTATCGTAATTTCGTCTTCTCTTCCATCCTTAGTTTGTTGTGCAGCTTTAAGAGCAGCCTGCAATAATAATGCAGGAGAAGAACAGTATCATCAAACCAAAAGCAAAACAAGCATAAACATTAAGCAAGCAAGGAGGAGCATTATCAAAATTCCCAATAGACTTCACTTGTCCAGATACATTAAAGTTAAAACATTAAAAAAGTATGACGAGCAACATTATTTGATGCATCATGACACGTTAAGTAACAATGTTTGTCTTGACTACTTTTATTCACAGTTCTTCAAGCTACCTCTCTCTGGCGAAGTGCTTCTTGCTTCCTGTAGTCATTGCATACCATCAGACAATGTTTGTTAAGCAGAAATATGGAAGGAGAGAAAATATTACAGATTGTACCTGGTTAATAATTTAGCTTCAAGTGATAGTCCTTCTCCAAGAGAAGCAACCTGTAAATAAGTAATAGATATAGCTTCATACAACTGTTAAATCTAAAAAAATAAGTGAAGAAAGCCATAAGTAATATATGTCTCATTCAATGAAAACCAGTTAAGATGATTAGCTGACTGAAACCACTTTTTGCACAATAATCAGCTACACCCCTTTTCTTGGTGCTTATAACTAACTTTAACATTTTACAGATGTCCTGGGAACAGATTAAGTTTATAGTATGTAAAATTGGAATCACCCACAAGAAACTACTATCCTCAGTGTAGACCATTACTACTGGTGACTTACCTGTTTCTCCAACAAACGAACCCTAGCTTCAGATTCTTCACGTTGTTCTTCTGTACGACGTAGCTGTAAATTACATCAGCAATTGTGATCCACAAAGTTACAAAGTCGCAAAACTTCTTCTTCTTTTTTCATTTATCCTTTTCATTTAGAAAGGTAAACCAACTAACCTTATCTAAAATAATGTCATTTTCTTCTTGAAGCATATCAAGCTGCAAAGAATTACAAAACCCTCATTTGAATATTAACAGAATTGTTATATATCCAATTGTCCAAATTACGCGAGCCTCGAGAGACAATGAACACATGCACCAGAATGGACAAGTCTAGCCTATTTTAGTAGCCATCCAGATACCATCTTCATTAGATGACATACCTCATCACGAAGCGCAGAAGTCTCATGATCATTTCCAGAATCCTTCAAATCCATTCGGCCTAATTCTGGTGTGAACCTAAAATTAATTTCTAATACAGTTAAAGATCATCATCTTGCCATGATTAAAAAAAAAACATCACATCAAGATATTATACAGATTAAGGGGAACATCATTATCGTACAATTTAAAATATGTCATATGGTTATTTGCCACTATCCTCCTGTATGTCACAGGAAGAAGGCTGTCTTATGGAGTCTAACATATGGGATTGAGAGGCGTTGACTGATAGTTGACTGATTGCTCCTGAACATCACAAGAGTAGTCCTTAATTCTATGTAGTTTGTCAGGTCTTCAACAAATAAACTATGCTTACTTCCAAATCTCTTACAAATTAAGCATCATAAGCAATGACAAGCAAGAAAAAGATGAATAAAATTACGAAAGTTAGAACAGATGAGAACTAGGTGAAAACTCAACATCAGGTCAAAATTTCACTATTTCAGTTTCAGTCCAACTGTAATCTGTTTATAGTTTGAGTTTCAAAATAAACAAGGCAGAAGTAGTAATCCATCTGTTCAATGCAAGTATCAAATAAGCACTGGAAAGTTGAAGTTACACAGTATACTAGTTTTAACAAAATAAAATAAGTTGATATAGTTCAGTCAAATATTAAATCAAAATATTAATAGATGTTATCAGTGGAAGATAAAGAAAATAGCAATGGTTACCTTTTCTCTCTCAAGCGATTACTAGGAGGTTCTATTGGTGGTATGGTAACTGGAGTTCTCACTGATGACCTACTTGGTTGCAGTATTGCTCCAGTTGTTGTTGCTGCTGCTGATGTACGAACAGACATCGAGGAGGGTCTTCCAGTAGACGATGAACGAACAGAAGGAGTGTGATCCATAAAATTTCGACCTAACTAAACATGATATCATCTAATTACCATCAGAAAAGAAACCTTAAGCAAAGTATTTGCATGACAAGTTATAAAGCATTAGTAGTTTATAAAAAAAAAAAAAGTTACTAATAGAAGTGTCTTCTAGAATGCTAAGTCTCTAGACTTAGCATGTGTCTTCATGGATTTTTCTCCACCCCCACACCCACGACGACACACATTCCCACACACACACCGTGACTTCTGTGTATTCTGGCTGGCAAGATGAGAGGTGAAATAATAGCCTTTGGCTTTCAGATTTTAGAACGAGATATATCAAAAGCAAAATTATTTCATTGAATCTTGAGCCAGCAGATGAAAAGTCAAATGGAAAACCACATCAGTGCACTTTCCCTCATAGTCAAGCAATGTATCATATGTTTCCAGTCAGAAAATTATAGCCTAAGAAAAGGGTTGACCTGTAAATAATTTTTTACCTCCTCTCTAATGAACTATTTTTTTTTTTTATCAAGAATCTGATTGACCAACCGATTCCAATCCAAACAAATTCAACTAAACACAGTTCAAGAATCAAGAATCATTAGTTCATCGAGAATCATTCATAATCTCACATCAAATCATGCAACAGCCGATATCAAGCACAACATTTAACATACAAAACACAGTTCAATTTATTTTCAAATTAAAAGGTAATAAAAATTACCGAGGGGGAAGGAGATCTATTGGGTTTGGCTAGTGAAATAGCCGTCAAACCACTGTTCTTGCTATTGCTATTACTCCGATTGTCATTAGTAGAGAAAGCAGCTGTAGGAGGCCGAAACCCTAGATCATCATCATCTTCTTCTTCATCAGGCCTATGAGAAGAAGCCATAACTTGTGCCAAACGCTGAGCAGCAGCTTTGGCGGCCACATTCTGAGTCCTCTTTATAGTAGACATTCCTGTTACCGTAGGAGGCAATCGAGCACGGGGATGAGCCGGCGATCCCGCCGGCGACGATGAACCTGTACTACTTGATCCTCCACTCCACTGCCGAGCGTACACCGGACTTTCCGTCCTCCGTCGATCCATCTACTCCGTCGGAACTGTACGTGAATTTTGAGAAGTTTCTAGATTTCCATTAGAAATCGTTAGGACCTAGATTTTCTCTCCGATGGAAGATCGGGAGAAAGAAGAGAAAGAGATTTGACGGATTAAAAGACGGCGTCAAACTTGAGTCGGAAAAAGTACAATAAATAGAAAATGAAACGCGTATCGCGGGAGAGACGATAGAAACGGAAAAAAATTGACCGTTCGAAAAAATAGCTAGCTCGGATTTCAGTTACCGTCAAATGGACCTTGAGCTATACTATATGTACCTTTTTATTTTCATCTCAGCGGCGAAGACCCTATGTATTAACGGTAGATGGGTTATAGCATTCGGTTCGAGATTTTCAAATTTATCGTATTTATAATACTATATTAAAGTTATAATATATTGTATTATGAAAACTTAAATTCGAATATTGTAAGTTTAAAATTTTACTCTCGAATATCAAATATTAAATAATTCAATTCGACTTGATAATTCATTTTTTCATGTTTTATATCAATCCGGAGTTTAAGCAGGTGACAATCAAAGAACAAAATTTACGAAAATAGTATAAGTACTATTGGTAAAAGATAAAGTTTAAGTAAGACCGTTAAATCTATTCTACAAGAAACGAAAAATGTTCAACTAACACCTATAGTTCGCGTAAGGTCGTATTCTCGATAGTCAATAAACTTAAGATGTGTTAATATGTTGTTTATCTAAACACTTCCTTCTATGTCTCTACTCTCTTAACATCTGGCGTCATTATCAATCTCTTATATCTCTTCATTGATATATTTACATTTCTTCTTTTTACATATTCAAATAATTCAAACTTAAAATCTTGATATTTAATTGAAAAAAATAATATTAGTATTATTTCATTGTTAAGAACTTCGGACATTTTAACAAATAAGAAAGAAAATATAGAAAATAAAAAAGTCAAAGAACAAATATGTAATGATTTTGTAGCTGTATAAGATTTACTAAAAATCCTCTTTTTGATTTTTCATTTTGGTTGAAAATTTAAGGACAATGATTTTTGTGACTTGAAGAGTTTGTTTATGAATTTTTCTAATTTGATTTAAAAAGTGACGTACTAAAATGACATGTCAAAGCTTTAGTTAGTTGCTTGTTTCAATTTGGTACGACATCTAAATTAATATTTTAAGAAAATTCTTTTATCAAAATTAAACTCGTCACATTATTACTATTATTATAAATAATATAAAATCAGCCTAAATATACTTCATTTGTTTTATATTAAATGATCGCTTTTTATTATATACTGTAATTAAGAAATCATTAATATATTGATCAATTTTATTATTTCTTAATCTTCAAAATTTGTTTAAATTTAGGAAAATCATATTAATTATTTAATTAATTCTATCTTGATTTAGTTAGTGACTAAGAACTCCATCTGTTCTTATTTATATGTTGTCCTTGTTGAAAATAGATGTTTCTTTATATTTATTTTTTCACAAAATCAATGCATAAATGACATTATTCTTTCTATTTTACCCTTGAGAATTATTATTCTTAAAAGTATACATTTGATCAACAATTCAACATAGTAATTAATTCATTTTTACGGGTCAAGTTAATAAATTAATTAATGTTCATTGATTGAAAACTTGACTTCAAGAGAATGTTCTTTATGTTCCTAATTGTTTGTTCAACTAGGGAATTTGGCCGCGCTTCGCGCGGTCTTTAAAATGAATATTAAAGGATTACTTTTTTCAATCAATTATATAGCTCTCTTTATTTCCAAATGTAATATTATCACTTTATTTTTTTACGTATATATTAATTATGAAGATCGTTTTGAGATGATGATTGAAATGAAACTTAGCAAATTTAACATCTATAATCTATTAAAAGAGGGATAGTACATTATTAATCAATATGTCAAATGTCAATATATATTTTCTTAGTAATTTTTTATTTGGACATGTACTTAATATGTCACTTTCTACATTTTATTGGAATATCAATGAGTTTGAATCTTTATATTACTAACATATACTCCGATGTACTTTTTTTCTTGAGTATATACGAATTATATTATAAATAACTGAAAAATACTAATAAAATATATCTACACGTCTTATTATCCGTTTTCATATTGATATGATAAAACTCCTTTGAATATTTCATTTTTCAACCGTTTTTGTTCCTTTTTCAAATATACAATTTAAATTTGTATGATTATTGCATGAATCACATCTATTGGTATTTTAGATTCTTTAGTTGCACCTATATCAAGACAATTGTTATCATTTGTCAAATTTATTTTTTAAGAATGTTATCCAAAATGTTACGCTATTATTAAGTTTCAATATATTCAACCTCGAATAAGAATATGTTTTTTTAAAAAAAATTATTAAATCGTTTACTATATTTTAATCTATATCTTTTATATGAAATATAAAGATAAAAGATTCGTATAAACTACATAAAAATATTTTATAGATAATAAACATCTTCGCATATTATGTGTATAAAATAATAAAATTCAAAAGTTAATTAAACTGAATACTCTGATAATATGTTTCATTTCAAATATACTTCTTGCATTCTCAAATCAATGATTGCACTTCTTTCTATGTAAAATTAATACATGAACACCCTAAAATATATACTCATTACTTAGTATTAATCAAATATTTTTATTTTTATTTTAATATTTTAATATTAAAAATATTTTAAGGATCGTTTATAATTTTTATACTCAAATAGATTGAATTTCAAATTTTAGTTATTATTAAATTGTAAATTAAATAATGTAACAATAACGGCGTTTTATAAATTTTGTGTTATTGATTATAACCGTAATTTAAAATTACAAAATATATATAATATTAAATATATTATCAGAAGTGTTTGACTTTTAAAAAGAAATAAAAACAGATAATTGCAAAACATTCACGTATAATTATGAAAATAAATTTAAATATAATCATATGAAAATAAATTTTATTTTGATTAAATTTTTGAGTTATAGTTGAAGATTGACATAAAAGAATGATGCAATACCTCACTTTGGTCAAAATTATCACTCGTCTTTATTGTCAATTTTTTTTTCTTTATTTTGATTTATAATATTCACAAAAAGAATATAAAATATCTTATTTATCTTTCTCCTTAATATTATTACAATCTATTAAATATTTTTCATTTCTCCTAATCATACTATTATAATTTATTATTTTTTCTACATTTTAGTTTTTAAAATAATAATTTTATTTATCTCTCCTCTTTATCATCCTAATTAATTATTTTTTTCCTTAATTATTTTCTTTCTTTTGATTCATAAAATTTGAAGAAAAAATAGATTTAAATATTATTATTATTCAAAAAGTTCTTTTTCAATTTTTTTTCTCTTGATCCGTAAAATATGTAAATAAATAAATAAAATTTCTCTTTGATGAAGACTCATAATTATTATTTTTTCTCTTTTTCTTGACTCTTAAATTTTTTTTAATTTATATTTTATGATTAACAACTCAGAAGAAGTAATAATAGTATCTAATTTAGTTTTTTTTAAAAATATATTTATAGTACTCTTCTTATATTATATTATGATTACAATAAATATATTTACCTTGTTTATCTCTCATCTTATCATTACTACAATTAATTGTTTTTTCATCAATTGCTATAATTTAATATTTTTTCTTAAATTAGATTTTTTACCCTCTACATTTTTATAATTTTTGAAAATCAAAAATCTTATTTATCTCTCCTCCTTATTGTCATAATTTATAATTATTGTTGAAGAAAATTTTCTTCCTTAAAGTTTTTTTATTGATTTATAAAATCAGTAAAAAAAATAAATTCAAACACCTTATTTGTCCCTCTCCTCACATTACTACAATTTATCATTTTTTCGTAACCTTTCTTTTACCTTCTATTTTTAAAAAAAAGATTATAGAAATAATAATATTATTTATTTTTCTTCCTTACTATCATGCTTAATTTTGTTACTATTCTCTTTTACTTTTCTTAAATGTTGTAGAATTTAAATTATAATTTTAATTCTAATGTAGAAATCTCATATTTTGTTTGTCAAAGTCCTAATTTACATTTTTTTGTTATAATTTACTAAATTCATTTGTTTAATAAATTGAGAAACTATGATTATCTTAATGCTTTGAAGACACGTGATAACTTAAAAAGATGTGATTATTTTTCTCATCTAAATGCATATGTTATAACAATAAACTTTTTTTCTGAATTATTTTTGTAAAAAGGACTCAACTTTATTTCTATGAGCATTCTGATAAAGTTTGTTTAGAAAGTTTTTTCCAAATTTGTTATATGTATTTTGTTAAAGTATATAATGCCTCAAATTATTAGTTTCTTTAATTACTTTATTCTTTATGTAATTGGGGTTGTATATCTCTCAATCTCTCTCTCTATATATATAAATAAAAAAAATTGTTTATATCTCTTCTGTATAACCATAAATAATTATTCTTATTCACAAAAAGCTCCTTTTTTCTTAATTGTTTTTTTTTTAATTTATAAATTTGAAGAAAAACGCAAATGTTAAATATTTCTGTTAATATTCACAGACTCTCTTTTAAAAAAATATAAATAAATAAGTTCTCTTGATAAAAATAAGTTATCCCTTGATTTTTATATATTTTTCTCCTTTATATTTCATGCTAAAAAAACTCAAAAGAAGTTATCCATTTTCTTGATTTTTAAATATTTTTCTCATTTATATTTTATGTTAAAACTCAATAGAAATTATAAAATTGTATCTAATTTAATATATGACATAATTAAAGTATTACCTTATTTATCTCTCTTTCTTACTTTTACTATAATTTATTGCTTTTATCTCTCCTCATCATAACTGTAATTCACTAATATTTTTTCTTAAATTAGTCTTTTTATCTTCCATTTTATAAATTTAAAGAGAAAATCTTATTTGTCTCTGCTCCTTAATATCACAATTTACTATTATTATTATTGAAATTTGTTTTCTTCTTTACAATTTTTTCTTTTGATCCATAAAATCAGTCAAACAAAATTCAAACATCATGTTTGTCTCTCTCCCTAGTCCCCACGTCACTACAATTTGTCACTTTTTCTTAAATTCCTCTCTAATGTATTATACTTTTAAAAAATTCTAAAAAGTAAATTCAATGAATTTATAATATATATATATATATATATATATATATATATATATATATTCTTTGAAAGTTCAATATATATATTTATAAATCTTTTTCTATTTAAAATTTTTTATAATAAAGAAGAAAGAGAGAGAAGTAGTTAACGAAAAACTAAAAAAAAACTAAACGTTTTGTTTTCCTTTCTTGTGTTTATTTTTATTTTAGTTACTTTCTTCCTTTCATTTTTTACTTAATATAATATAATTTACTCGCATTTATAATATGATATATATATATATATATATATATATATATATATATATATTCTTCTATTTAAAATGTTATATAATAAAGAAGAAAGAGAGAGAAGTAGTTACGGAAAAATAATTAACAATAACGTTTTTTTTTTGTAAGTTTTTACATTTGTTTTCCTTTCTTGTATTTTTTTTATTGTATGTAGTTACTTAAAAAAAAAATTCTTTCCTTTTTTTTCTGTACCTCCCTTTTACTGTTTACTCAATGCACTACTATATATCTTCTTCCTTTTATCTTGCAAGTTGCAATGTCATGCCTCATCTCTTTATTTTTTTTCTAATTATATCACACTAAATTTATTCTATGCTATTAGAAAAAATTTACTAATATCTTCTTTTTTTTAATCTTACTATTTCTTACTTCATCTTTTTACACTTTTTATTTGTGAAAAAAAAAGAATAAAATTAGAAAACTATACTTCAGACATTGTTTTTACGATTTACAAACTGAATATTAGAGGACATTTAGATGTTTCTCGATCTTTGGTATATTGAATTTCTATATAAAATTTCATTGTACAATTTTGATAGATCCGTTGATATAATTTTCGTTGGCATAAAATGATTAAACTTGCACAAGTATATTCTAATGAATTCATTTATATAAGAAATCAAAATTTTGATTTACCTGAAGCAGTAAATCTTCTTGTGGAATGATTCTTCAATTTTGTTAATTTACCTTCATATCCTCTTGTCTAACTTCATTTGTACAAACAAATAAATTTTTTATTTATTTGAGGCAATAAAACTTTTCAAAAATTCAATTACAGTAGTATATCTTCTAGTGCAATAATTCTTCCATTTCGTCACTTACTTTTTGATTATGTGCTCTCATTGCATAACTTTATTTGTATAGACAAATCAAAATTCTTGATTTACATGAAGTAGTAATTAATTTATTTTGCAATGAAATTGGAATTTTATTTGTTACTTTCAGATTATGTGCTCTCTTATTTTATACTTTTTATTTGATTGTAATAAGTTATTGACAACCGTTACAATTCTTCATATTCCATTAGAACAATAAAAATATCATTTATGTAAAAACTTTTCATTGTCCTCTTTAATTGTAAGTTAATAGATGCATTAGATGTATTTAGTACATTATTATTTAAAAAAAAATGTTCAAAAATTGAGAGAAAAAATAAATTGAAATGGAGGTCATATAGGCATGCCACATCAGCTTTTCTATATTCAGCTTTATATATATATATTGATTTTCATTTTTTTCCTTATTCATTTTGACAAATCAAGAAATTATAATTTTCTTTACCTAACGTACCCTCAATTAATTACTTTAAAAAAGTTACATCTCTTTGAAGATTTTAAATTTTTAATTTATGCATTTCATAATTAATAGAGGCAAAATGATAAACTTATTATGTCAATCATTATTTTCTTAATAGTTGTGTCAATTAAAAAATGTATAAATAATTAGGAACAAGTGGAGTACTAAATAATATAGTTAAAAACTTAAGGGATATTAAATCTAAAATGGTGATAAATAAATGAAAATTTAGGAAGTAATATGACTCGTTTACAACAAAATTTAAAGTGACTGAAACTAAATTGCAATCACAAACAAAATACGGAGAAACATGATTTTATTGATAAAGGCTGCGAGTACAATTATGTTCGTCCCTTGATTCTATTATGCTGAGATTTATCTATGATTTGAGGACCATTAGTGAGTAACGTATTTAGGATTAAGTAACCTTCGAAAATTCTAATTGAAACTGAACATACCATCTAGAATTTCAATTCGAATTGAACACGTCTCGTAAAATTTTACAAAATTTTAATATCTAAAATGATACAAAATATTTTAGTGAGATATACCTCTAATAATCATGACAACTGCACGCTCCTTTTCCATCATTGTCATAGTTGGCAATATTACAAGGAAACAAAAAAATAATTATTCGAGGATTACACAAGTAACATAATTACTCAACTAATAAAATGCAATCGTAAATCTAATTAGTAACATATGGAATAACAAAAATAATAACAAGAAGAAAGTACTCTTCTATAAAATAATAGTCGTTTGACATCGATTTAACAGGAGGAATAAAAAGCAGTAAATTATTCATTAATTTTATAAGTTGAATAAATATTATTAAATATCTTAAGATAATATAGCGAATCAGTAAAGATGGACGGACGGAGGGAGTATTAAAAGAAAAGTCATCATCATTCAGATACCAAAATATTGCAAAAAGAATTCAATCCAAGACCAAGAATATGAATTACAACGAGTCCATCAAAATTTAAGCTAAAATTAGAACTCAAATTATCATTTTTCCCATCCTAATTAAAAATGTCTACTTCTTCTCAACAAGTTTTTCAATCAAGTCAGCAGCATCTTGAACTGTTACAATATTCTCAGAGTTCTCTTCTTCTACTGCAATCCCAAACTCTTCTTCTAGGGCCATCACAATTTCTACCTGTTCGCGCGTTACAAACACTTATAAGGCTCATTCTCGTACTGTATATATAAGGTTAAAATTATTATATTTGAATGTACGTATAGTAACGAGATGTTGAATTGTTTTAATAAAAATCCTGAATCCGACACTACTCACAGTGTCCAGAGAGTCGGCTCCGAGGTCCTTAGTGAAAGTACTTTCAGGGCTGACCTTAGTGTCTGCTGGTAAAGCTAGTTGTTTTCTCACTATGCTTATTACCTTATCAATTGTCTCTGCCTTTGCCTGCTCATCATGCAAAATGTATCAAATCAATAAAGAGAGTGAAAACTCATACTATTTTCTGTTTCAATTTGTTTGTCTGATATTGATTTGACATATAATATTTAAAAAAGTTTGAAAGACTTTTGAATCGTATGATTACATTGAATATTACTATTTTGCTCTATTGAATCCGGACGTAAGTATAAGTGTGAATTAAAATAAAATGTGGTACAGCATAGTAGAGTGGCAGCAATAAATAGACACATTAATAAAGAGTGTTAAAGTCTTTAGTAACATTAGTTAAGTGTCATTAGATCCAATATCGCTAAAGTCTTTAGGTATACACAAAAAAAAATGTTAATTGCTGCTAAAAGTATATGTAAAGAGTACTTCTAGGCTTTTGCGAAGGCCATTTACCAACAATAGGATTATAATGTTAAACACTTATTTACGAGTTTCACTCTTTAACTATCCATTGTTCTATTTACCTATTGTTTCATATCTCAACAATCAAATCTCATTTTATCAAAACATGTTAGCCTATTGACAGTTGGGAACAAATATTCGGCCAACTCAACATTTATGATTCAATACAAATTAATGGAGTGATAGTTCAGGTAGATAAAAGAACAATGGATAGTTAAGATATGAAACTCGCGAAATGAAGAAGAAGAAGGAGATTTACAGCTGCAACACGAAGGCGGGATGTTCTTAGAGAAGGGAAACCAGCACTACTCCTTCCCCAACCCACTGAAACCAACTTCACAGTGCCTCCGTTTATCTGCACACATTTTGCCCAAAATTACAAGTTTCAATGAAATAGTTTTATATCAAAGTCATTTATCTTTTGACTATTGTAACAAAATGTTGTTACAATGAACAAACATGTATAACATGAAAAATTAGTCGTTACAGTGAAATGATGTTATTAGTAATGTTGACCTGAGATGTGTTGACAGAACAGCCAAATCTGAGACAAGTAGCTGAAAGACTAGCCATATTATGAAGAATGAGAAATGCAGAGAGAAGAAATGGAGTTTGTTTGAAGATTTAAAGATGAGTACAACAATAGTTGAAGTAACAGTAATAATATTATTATTACATACAAGTTGACAAAACAAAGAAAAATGAGTGGTGAATATTTAGTGTGCAAATCCTATCCAAATTAGTGTGTATGTTGCTATCTTATGTGACATAGCATGGATGCTTTGCTAGCTAATGTTTTGTCTTCATTCTCCCTTTCTCAACTTGACCACGTGCAAGTAAGTAATCGTAAATATCGATCGAACTCAGTAACTTTCATCTAACTTTAATTTAACTGTTACGAAATTAGTAGGGAATAAATAAATCTTATTGCATTTTTTTGTTTTGAATATGTATAAATTTTTCACTTAGTATTTGGTAATTTAGCAATCATATATTTCATATGTAAGATCGAGAAATATATGATCAAATATTAGATTTGAATATAATATTATGTTGAAATATATGTTTTAAGAATGAGATATTACTTTGGAAACTTACATAAATATATTATAATAAAAAAATATTTACCGTTTATAGTAATAATATTTTTTTTCACTTGACCACTTTTAATTTATTTACTATACAAGTTTAATATATATTAAAATATGTGATAATACATTTATCACATATTTTGATACACTTATAATACAATGTGACTGTTTTTTACCAAACAAACATAATATATTTAAAAAAAATATAATTCATATATATTGCATATATAATTCACTTTTAATATATATTAAAAATTTATCATAATATTACTATAAATGATAATAAATAAAAAAATCACTAAAATCAGTAATTATTTTAAAAAATGTATTAATTCGCAATTTTGATGGATATTGGGCTCTCAAAGCAAATTGGGCCTCGAATACCTACCAACATTTTTCAATTGGATCATGTGCTCAAATGCAACTTCTAATCCGCTGATTCATTTGTACTTTTTTTTAGGGCAAACAACAATTTTTTAAATTTAAATTTATTCTTAAATTTTTTATAATTACAAAACTTTCTAAAAAAGGATATAATTTTATAAGCGTTGATACATTACTCTAATGCACGAGATACACTAATTTGATGCGCGAGATACATTTTATACATGATACACTAATCTCATGCGCGAGTTGCATTTTATACATGATACACTAACCTGATACACAAGATATACTAATCTGATGCGCGAGATACACTAATCTGATGTGTGAGGTACATTAATGTGATGCGCGAAAATGAGAAATTTTAAAAATTTATAAAACTTATAGGGGATAATAATAATAATAAGTAAAATAAAAGGCGAAATTTCCGTAATTAATCTACCGTAACCACTATCACCATCATATTTCAACCAAGAAGAAAGTCATTGACTATTCATAAAATCATTACGCAACTCCATCGCCATCAATTTGAAGATGTTACAAAATATTCAAAAGTAATGGAATTGTACATCGTATTCATGAGTTAAATCTTTTTGTACTTTTTGAGAAAATAACTTTTAACTTGTGTCATTTAAAAACATACCTATTAAACGCAAACGATTGACAATATTATGACACGTGTATTATATTTATTTATTTTTGGAAAAAAGGATAACCCGCAATTTTTATAACCTTTGTTGCCCTTCGGGTGAGCACTTTGTGCACACTGAGTAGTAACCCCCTCTCTATAGTAGCCTGCAAACTACACAGGGATGTAAGCCGTAAGCAAGTCTTATGTGACAAGCTCGAATTAGAAAACATTAAGAGGGAGATCGATCCCTAGTCATCCATATCGCCGCTACTCCATCACCATAACTATTATCGCCACCATATTTCGACCAAAAAGAAATCCACTAACCAATCATAAAAATCACCGCACAACTTTAGCATTATCAACTCAAAGATATTATAAAAAAAACTCTAAAAGATACTGAAGCTTACAATGCCTTCACGAGTCAAAGATTTTGTGCATCTGAAAAAACACTATAACTAATTATGTCAGTTAAAAATGTGTCAAAATTAAACACAAACGACAAACAAGACATAACACATGTATTATAACTGTTTTACGCGCGCGAAATACCTAAATTTTTCTGTCCATCTCCTTCATCTACTATTTACCGCCACCACTCCATCACCATATCCAACCACCACAAAAGAAAATCATCAACCAATTACAGAAATCAACATACAAATCCATCTTTATCAAATTCAAAACTCAAAAACCATTGAAATTAACAATCGTATTCATAAATAAAAAAAAAATTATCTTACATTCTTGGAAACTTTATAACTAGTGTAGTCTCAACTTCTTCTTCCACTTAATTTTGTGTTATTAAATCTTGAAATAATGAACAAATAATGTTGTTAGAAATGTATAGAATGTATCACAAAATTATAAAACAAAAAAATAATTAAAAAGAAAATTGGGACCGACGTACCAGGCATCCTGTCCAAGTAAAATATGTCAGCTGTCCAATTTTTGCTTGTTCACCAAGGCGAATTTTTAGCCCTATTTATACCTTTCATTACTCCTCTTTTCTTCATCCTCCTCCGTCATCTTCTCCACAGAAAATTCAGTAGCCGACTCCGGAGAATCAAAACTCTCTTCTGTTTCTGGATTTTGTCTTCGGCGGGCTGTTTGATCTTTGTTTCATCGAATCAGGTATTGAAAAATTTTCTTTTAGGGTTTGAAATTGAATTCCTTTTTTTTTTCAATTTTCTGAATTTTCCCCTTTTTTTTTTCTGTATAGAAATCTGTCGTTGGATAGGTTAATAAGAAATTCAAGTCAGAATATGAGCTTTCCTGCACAAAACAATAGAAGGAATAACAACAGTAATCGGCCTAGAAACAATAATAATAATCCTGTTGTTCAAAGTGGTGGTGCTCGTCGTGAGTGGGTAGCTAGGGGATCTGCTCCAACCAACACTGTTCCATTTTCAGCTGCCCCTGTTACCCCGGTAACAACAACCACTGTTGTGACCCCTGTGTTTGGTGGGAATGGAAGAGACAATGAGAATGTGTCATCTGCACCGTTTAATCGATTTCAAAATCAAAATCAGACCTATGGGGAACCTAAATTCAATAGGGGGATGTATGGGAATCAGAGGGGAAGGGGCAGGGGGAGCTATAATCATCAGGAGAACAAGATGGAGAGGCCGGTCAGGGAGGTCAGTGGGAGGATTAATCAAGAGCGGGTGAAAGATCCTAATTTGCCTCAACTTGTGCAAGAAATAGAGGAGAAGCTTTTGAAGGGAAACATCGAGTGCATGATATGCTACGATATGGTGAGGAGGTCTGCGCCCATGTGGTCATGTTCGAGCTGCTACTCGATTTTTCATTTGCATTGTACCAAGAAATGGGCAAGAGCTCCAACTTCTGTTGACACATCTGCGGAGAAGAATCAAAGGTTTAATTGGCGTTGCCCAGGTTGTCAATCAGTCCAACTCACTTCGTCCAGGGACATACGGTATCTTTGCTTTTGTGGGAAGAGGCAAGACCCCCCTTCAGATTTATACTTGACTCCACATTCATGTGGGGAGCCTTGTGGCAAGAAACTTGAGAAGGAGCTTCCAGGGAATGGTCTGAGTGAAGAGGATCTTTGCCCTCATGTTTGTGTCTTACAGTGCCATCCTGGTCCTTGTCCACCTTGTAAGGCATTTGCTCCAGCTAGAAGTTGTCCCTGCGGAAAGGAAGTAATTACCACTCGTTGCTCTGATCGGAAGTCCGTTCTTACATGTGGACAGCAGTGTGGTAAGCTTCTTGACTGTGGGCGTCATCGGTGTGAACAGACTTGCCATGTTGGTCCTTGTGGCCATTGTCAAATTGTTGTGGATGCCCATTGCTTTTGTAAGAAGAAAACAGAGTCTCTTCTTTGTGGAGATATGGGTGTGAAAGGAGATATCAAGATGGAGGATGGCGTCTTTTCATGCAATTCAGTTTGTGGAAAGAAGCTTTGTTGCGGAAATCACATCTGCCGTGAGCTCTGCCATCCAGGGCCATGTGGGGACTGTGCTTTGTTGCCTAGCAAGGTCAAGACATGCTGTTGCGGTAAAACCAGCTTGGAAGAAGAAAGGCACAGTTGTTTGGATCCAATTCCAACCTGTTCCAAGGTCTGCGGAAAGCGTCTCCGTTGTGGGGTACATCGCTGTGAAGCTGTGTGCCATTCTGGTGACTGTGCACCATGTCTTGTTCCTGTGACTCAACGCTGCCGCTGTGGGTCAACCTCTCGAACAGTGGAGTGCTACAAAACGCAGGCAGAAGATGAGCAGTTCACTTGTGATAGACCTTGTGGGCAAAAGAAGAACTGTGGAAGGCACCGTTGTAGTGAGCGATGTTGCCCTCTTTCTAATCCAAAAAATTCCATAACTGGTGGTTGGAATCCTCATTTTTGTTCAATGCCGTGTGAGAAGAAGCTTAGATGTGGGCAGCATTCTTGCGAGTCGCTTTGTCACAGTGGTCACTGCCCTCCCTGCCTTGAGACAATTTTCACCGATTTGACTTGTGCTTGTGGGAGAACATCAATCCCTCCTCCGCTACCTTGTGGCACACCTCTTCCTTCGTGTCAGCTACCATGCTCGGTTTCTCAGCCTTGTGGCCATCCACCTACTCACAGCTGCCATTTTGGAGACTGCTTGCCATGTGCTGTTCCTGTAGCAAAAGAGTGCGTTGGTGGACATGTAATTTTAAGGAACATACCTTGCGGGTCAAAGGACATCCGATGTAACAAGCTTTGTGGGAAGACCAGGCAGTGTGGCTTGCACTCATGTGCTAGAACTTGTCATCCTTCGCCATGTGATGTTTCTGCTGGACCTAGCAATGGCTCCAGAGCCTCTTGTGGGCAGACGTGTGGTGCTCCTAGAAGAGATTGCAGGCACACATGTACTGCTCTCTGTCATCCCTCTTCTTCATGTCCTGATGTTAGATGTGAGTTTCCTGTCACTATTACTTGTTCTTGTGGCCGGATTACAGCAAATGTTCCTTGTGATGCTGGAGGT